ATCAGAACAATACTAAACACACCACAAATAAGGTTTTTCTCCTGTATGGCTCCTCAAATGATGCTTAAGATTAGAAGCGGCTGAAAAGCATTTCTCACACTCCGAACAAAAATATATTTTTTTTAACATTCTCTCCACTTTGAACGAAATGACGTTTGGGAAGAGATTAACATAATTAAACACAGGCAGTAAAATACAGTTTTTAGCCATACACTGTAACTTTAAAACTACACATCCCATCTTCATAATTACATATTTGGAATCAGCACACTTAAAACATAAACATAACCAAAAATCAGCCAAATCCATCAGGGGTTAAAAAGTTAGCTGGAGGTCCCTTTATGACCGACCGCAAGCACATTTTCCTGCCCAAAACAGTTCCATAGATTTGGGCTGTGAGGTCGGTCTATTTCAGGCTGAAAAAACGACTAAATCCCATCGCGAATGGGACTTAGTCTCTGCAGCTGAAATAAGGCTGAAAAAAACGGCTGAAAAAAAGACTAAGTCCCATCGCCGAATGGGACTTAGTCTCTGCAGCTGAAATAATTTCCCATTTACTGAACCAAGTGGGAAATAGCAAGGCAGGCACAAAGGTTTTGCACCAGGTCTGGGGACACAGGGGACACCGTCTTAAAGGGGCAGTGTCCCCAACAAGTCTGGGGACACGGCCTTAAAGGGGCGAGGAAGTGTCCCCGTCTTCCTGATGTCCCAAAAAGGTGTTTAAAGAGGCCAGCACCAGTCACATAAAGAGTCCATAAGCCCCAATATGCCCACGACAGTCTTAAGGGCCATACGCAAATAAAGGTAGCCACATTTTCACAATCTCCCAGGGCCATAGTCATGCGGGGAGGCTGGCAAATAGGCTTCTCACAACCAAGGAAGCGGGGCAATTTGCGTTTAAAGGGCCCGTTACAAATAGCAGTTTGTAACAAGGTGTCAATCCACATATCTGCCAAGTGACCCGATGTAGGGGACCAGTCCTATTCTGCTCTGTGTCGGTGTGTATCAGAGACCTTAGGACGGTGTCAATCCACATATCTGCCAAGTGACCCTATGCAGGGGGGAACAGTCCCTATTCTGCTCTGTGTCGGCGGTGTGTATCAGGGGATCCCTTAGGACGGAGTGTCAATCCATATCTGCCAAGTGACCTATGTAGGGGACCAGTCTCTATTCTGCTCTGTGTCCGTGTGCATCAGGGCTCTGAGGACAGGTGTCAATCCATATGTCAAGGTGTCAATATGTCCTTGTAATGTCAGGTGTCAATCCATATTGATTGTGATTTAGGAATGTTAGGTGATTTCTGCCCTTTATGGATTAAAACCAGACTCTGTATCAACTGTGTAATTTTCCATGGGAGTTTTGCCATGGATCCCCCCTCCGGCATGCCACAGTCCAGGTGTTAGTCCCCTTGAAACAACTTTTCCATCCCTATTGTGGCCAGAAAGAGTCCCTGTGTGTTTAAAAATTCGCCTCCCCATTGAAGTCAATGGCGTTTCGGGCGGTTCGCCGGTTCGCGACATTTGCGGAAGTTCGCGTTCGCCATTCGCGAACCGAAAATTTCGGGTTCGCGACATCACTAGCTATGTCTTGCCACCCTAGATGATTGATATTTATATATATATATATATATATATATATATATATATATATATATATATATATTGCTTTTTCCAATATAAAATATTGGTCCTTTCAGAGTAAAATTTTTAATTATACAGTAAGCATACTCACATGCAGACACAGACAATCTCACTGACACAAGCTGATTGATACACAGCCTCATAGACAAACAATCTCACTGATATACATAAGGTCATTGACATAAAAACACAAGCTCACTCAGTAGCAGGCACACACACACACACACACACACACAAGCAAGCCCACTCACTAGCAGGCACGCACACACACACACAGCTTAATGTAGTGGCTCTGGTGTCTGTAGTCTGTCCCTGCAGGTTTTTCAATGTAAACACTGACTTTTTAGAGAAAAGGCAGTGTTTACATTGCTTCCTAGTGACAGACACTCAGACGGTCACTAGAGGTGATTCCTGTGTCAGTGTGGATTGGCTGAGATCATCAAGCTTGATGATCTCAACCATAGAGGCAGGACCAGTCGAGGGGAGACCAGCACGACGTGGGAAAAAAAAAGGTGAGTAAAAACACACATACCACGACAGACACACACCATGACACAGACAGACCGTGACACAGACACACACACACCGTGACACAGACAGAAACACACACACACACCGTGGCACAGACAGACAGACACACACACACCATGACAGACACACACACACACCATGACACAGACACACATTGCATGACACAGACACACAAACACCATGACACAGACAGAGACACACACACCATGACACAGACGCACACACCAAGGCAGACAGACACACACACACACACCATGACACAGACAGACACACACAATTAACACAGACACACATTGCATGACACAGACAGACACACACACACACCATGTCACAGACAGACACACACACCATGACACACACAGACACACCATGACAGACACACACACAAATGACACAGACACACACACATACACTCACACTGACACACATAATTGCTACCTGTGTGCTGGCGGCCGCATGGGGAGCACTGATGGCGGCCGCATGGGGGGAGCTGGCTCTGATGGCGGCCGCAGAGGGAGCTCTTTTGGCCGGGTAGGCAGCTGGCTTTTCTGTCTCTGCTCCCCCGCCCCAGTGCGCCGCTTAATGAGACTGGGGCCGGAATATGACGTCATATTCCGGCCCCGGTCTCTTTGTAGCGCGCTGGGGCGGGGGAGCAGAGACAGAAAAGCCAGCTGCCTACCCGGCCCCAGGTGCCGACGGCCCACCGGGAAATTTCCCGGTATCCCGGTGGGCTAGTCTGGCACTGACTACAGGCAGTCTGGCAGGGCCGGACGAAATTACCCGGTGGGCCGCTGCACTTGGGGCCAGCAGTGCAGCACCTGACACATTTGTTTTCCCCTTACCTAGGTGTCTACTAGAAGCTGGTACACAGACAAAGGTGGCAGCCAGCTGCAGCAGGGAGGAATGAGAGTATCTTTCACACATTGCCAGCTCCTCTGCATGGCCAGTCTGGTAGGATCCAACCCCCACACTGGAGCTCTGGCCCCCAGCCTCAGCCTAGTGAACTTCACACAGGAAGAGAAAGTACAGGAAGTACCTTGTGAAGAAACCTCACACTAAACGAGGAAGAGAGAGGAAGAGAGAGAGAGAGTGTGTGTGTGTGACAGGCCATACTGGCCATCGGGCATACCGGGAAAATGCCTGTGAGCCGTGGCTGACAGGGGAGATCAAGAGATCTCCCCTGCTGGTCCATGTAGAGCCGGCACTATCCAAGCGCCGGCCGTGCTTTGTGTCTTCATGAGCAAATGGGGAGATCAAAGATCTCCCTCACCGGCCCATAGGCACTAACAAGTGGCCGCCGGCTGGGAAGGGAGGGAGACAGGAGAGGACCCGGGGAGCTCTGGTTTGCAGCTCCGCTGGGTTCCTTTTGCAAGGTCGGAGCATTGCCGCGGTTACCATGGCAACGCTATGATCTCGTGAGAGTGAACTCTAGCCCCACAGGCCAGCGTTTAATCTCACTACTAAGACCACCAGGGATGACTGCACGGTCCCCCCCCAGGCAAAAAGTAAGAAGGGCGGGGGGATCCTAGGCTTTTTTAATTGAAATAAAAAAATATATAATTCCATTAATCTATCTCCCACCGCACACACATACACACAATACCTCCAAACATATTTACACACACGCACACACAGCACCCCTCAATACACACACACACACAGCACCCTAACACACTGCACCCCTCACACACAGCACCAATTACATACACAGCACCCCTCACATACACACACACAGCATCCTCAAACACTACACCGCTAATATACACACTCACACAGCACCCCTCACACTCACACAACACCCTCACACACACACTGCACCTCTCACATACACAGCACCCCTCACACACACACACAGCACCCCCACATACACACACACAGCACCCCTCACACACTGCACCCCTCACACAGCACCCTCACACACTGCACCCCTCACATACACACACACAGCACCCCTCACACACATACAGCACCCCTCACACACACACAGCACCCTCACACACACACACAGCACCCCTCGTACACACATTACATTCCAGACTCACACTAGATCCCTTACACACACTAAATCCCTATATACACCCTGAATTATGTATACACACACACTAGATCTCCTATTCACGCTCTGGATCCTTCAAACACACAATAGATCCCCTTCACACACACACTACATTCCTGACATACAAACTCTGGATCCCCTATGCACAAACTATAAACCTTGTAAGCAAACACATACTTCACATTCCCTATCCACACACACTCTACAACCTCTATACACACTATGTTCCCTTTACACACTCTCTTACTCTCTACAGCCCCTAG